TTTTTTCTCTTTTCTCTTACCAAGACAGAACAACGTTCTTTTACGACACAGCCACGGGGTTCCTGCCGTCAGAGTGGTCTTGTATTAGGTCCTTGATGTGTTGGAGAAAAGGAGATCGGGGCGCCGGTGTATTGCGCCGGTGGCTGAACAATGATGAGGGGCGACTTCCAGCGACTTAGCGGGGAGTTGTCTGACCCTGAAGCGCAGAAATAATATGGGCTCAACGATGGTTCGGGTCATCTTGGAGCGAACGATGATACTGAGGAGCAACGGTGGGCAACAATGCAACGCCTCCAGTGGTGGAGGATGTCAGGCAGAAGATCCGTCCCATAGAAGCCACATTGATCGAGAGAGTCGACTAAGGCTAGACACAATACAACGTAACATAAAACAACATTCATCTCATCTCATTTCCTTTCATATCAAAAGAAATTCATTGCTTGTCCTTTTCACGTAAACTATTTGCATACTACACAAAAGATAACCATTTGATGTGCGCTCTTGCGCATTCAAGGAAAACCGACCCTGTTCGTCCTGCATGTGGCTTGTGTACACTTTTTCACTTCTCTTGATCACTTGGTGGCAGGACAAGGTCGAAGTTGAGGTTCATTTTATCCCTTGCTCAATCTGTTCAAGGCTGCATCCTAATCCAATCACCTTCTTTTCACTGCCCAACCATCAGACGGCTTACAACTTGGCCACAGGCTGTGATGATCCCACAGTAGTGATCTCGTTGTACAGGAGACTGCGAGCAAAAGTGTTAGTGATGAGATATACGACGGGTTAGAAAAATGGGAAAGCATACCTCGTCAAGAAGTCGGCATAATCTTCACCAGTCACCTGGCTCTCGAAATATCGGGCCGCAAGCTGGTACTTGTTACCCTTGGGCGCCTTAGACGCCAATTCTTCTGCTTGCTCCCTCAGCAACTTAAGGGCATAAGCCTTGTCAACAGTCTTGCCCTCGGCAGTCTTGACACCGTGCTTGACCCACTGCCACAATTGTGAACGCGAGACTTCAGCCGTGGCAGCGTCTTCCATGAGGTAGTTGATGGGCACGCAGCCAACGCCACGAAGCCAGCCTTCCATGTAGCCGAGACCAATGCTGAGGTTCTTGCGGATGCCGTCCTCGGTCACAGTGCCAGGCATATTCATGTTAAGAAGGTCGTTCTTGGTGACGTAGACGTCTTCGCGACGCTTGAAGAGCTGATTAGGCGTGGGCATGTGCTTGTTGAACACATCAGAGGCAATGGATGCCAGAGCAGGGTGAGCGACCCAGGTTCCATCGTGACCCGCCCGGACTTCACGAAGCTTGTCCTGTCGGACGTTCTCCATGGCCTTGTCGTTGGCCTCCGGGTTGTCCTTGATGGGGATCTGCGCCGCCATACCACCCATAGCGTGCACGCCACGACGATGGCAGGTCTTGATGAGCAGTCGCACATAGGCATCCATGAAAGGCACGGTCATGGTGACAGCAGATCGGTCTGGAAGGACAAAGTTTGGATTCTGGCGGAATTTCTTGATGACCGAAAAGATGTAATCCCATCGGCCGCAGTTGAGACCGGCCGAGTGGTCACGGAGCTCGTAGATGATCTCGTCCATTTCGAAAGCTGCAGTGATAGTCTCGATAAGGACGGTTCCGCGGATCGTGCCTCGTGGCATGCCAATATAGTCTTGGGATAGGTTAAAGACATCATTCCACAATCTAGCCTCGAGATGAGACTCCATCTTGGGGAGATAGAAGTATGGCCCAGTGCCTCGCTTGACCAGCTCAGAGCCATTGTGGAAGAAGTACAGGCCAAAGTCGAATAGCGAACCAGAGATTGGCTCGCCATCGACAGTGAAATGCTTCTCCTCCAGGTGCCAACCCCGGGGTCTTGCTATTAAAGTCACGGAACGATCTGTCCTCAATTTGTATTCTTTCTCTCCTTGTTTGAAATCGATCTGTCGGCGGATCGCGTCGTAGAGGTTGACTTGGCCCGAGACCTGGTTATCCCAGGTGGGGGCTTGGGCGTCTGTTGCAGCGAAAATCAATCAGCTGCTGCGAATTGCAGTGGGGATCTGGCGGATCTCTCTTACCTTCAAAATCAGCCATGTAAGTCCATACGTTGCTGTTCAAAGCATTGACGACCATCTTCCGATCCGTTGGTCCGGTAATCTCGACCCGGCGGTCGATGAGGCCGGGAGCTGGAGGGGCACCTTTCCAGGCGTCATTGTCGCGAATATGCTTGGTTTCAGGGAGGAAATCTGGCAAATTGCCCTTGTCGAGCTCCTGTTGACGGATCACTCGTCTTTGGAGCAGAGCTTTGCGGGTACCGTTGAAGGATCGGTGGAGGAGAGCGAGGAAGGCAGTTGCCTCGGGAGTAAGGATCTTGCGGTACGAGTCCTTGACGACGCCATTGATGGCAACCCCTTCGTTGATGCTTTCAATGCTGGCCATTTTGGATGGGAAACAGGAACTGAACTAGGAGAGTAGAAATCTAGAGGAGTAGCTGGGTTATTCAGAGACGAGCCCCGAGGCAAGGGGGGAAGGGAGCTGTGTTGGTTGATATAATACTATACGTCAGAGCAACGCAATACCCAAAATCGTTAGAGGCAACATTGTCGACGACTTGTCCGGAGGAGATGTGCCCGTTGACAGGTCCCTCGCCCTACAGCCCAATCATTGGGGTTCCAGTGGGTTCCGCTCGACCACACAACTCCCAAGAATGAGGCCAGAGGAGCCCGTGGAGCCGGGGCATGCGGATAAGATCAGCTTTGAGGATCAGTCGACGACAAAATCAATTTGCCATGTGTGGGGTAAAAGCGTCACCCTTGGTATGTGCTCTGTTTTTTCCCTTTGCTCCGGCCGTCTACTGAAGATCCTCTTTTGAAATTCTACTCTCATGCTATTGACGACGACAACATGCCTATTACTCAGTCACAATCTGTCTCCCACAACGCCCGGCCCTAGGCGAGCAAAAAAACGCACATGCGCTCCAGCGAACCACGGCACGCCGCTTAGTCCCACACAGATCTGGTCCTTTCAGAAGTGCCGAGGTTCGTCTGATCCCCCTGTGCCCTACGATTTCCCACCAGCGGCGCGGAATCATCCGTTGCGATGAGTAAATCTCCCGATGTGTCCCGAATCGTGAAAACATCGCTAGTGTTTGCCTGTAGCCAGCCAGCCAGCTCTTCTAGCCGTGAACCCAGGGTGCCATTGAGTCTTCTCTCCGCCGTCGTCTTAAGTGTATTGCCACGCGGTAATATTAAGGGTATCGAAAGCCAAAGGATCGAAACCAAGGCACTGGGATACATTGCCTCGAGGTGCCGTGATGTTCTTCTGCATCATTTGGTAAGCTTGTGTCAATGCTGCTATACTGGGACAGCAACGATGCGGGCAGCTCATAATCAATTCATGGACAAGGGCGACTTACCAGGTTGGCAAAAACTTGCCAGGCGTCTCCATATGTAGGACATGCCATCAACCCCGATGCCCCGAATGCCCTCAGATTCAGTCGTCCAATCGTGGCTCCTGGGGCCTTTGAGTATGTGAAGGGACACTGGACTGCTCCATCCGGCATGAGACTCGAATGGGCTTGGGTGTAGCCGACTTCACCACCAGGCGTCACATACAAATACTGACCACCAGGAACAAGAGCACCCTTTGCTTTGTTAGTGAAGCTTTCCCATGTCGGCAAAATCACCTCACCATTGCACATAGAGAGAGTACAGTGTGATTCCCCGTGGGACATCCTCCGGCTTCTTCAACCTCAGTTGGACAATATGACACGGTATCTCCTCCAAGGTAGAAACGGTAGCCGGCAGCATTCATGGGCAGTAGGTGAATTGGTGAGGCAATTCGCGAAGCCATGACTGTAAGCCACGATGTTGGGGTGGTCAACGGGCCAGTGTTGGTAGTGCTTGAGCTCGAGGTGGCTGAAACGGACGCGGTGACGGTTGCGGTCACAGTGCTGGCCACGGTGATGACGGTGTCAGTCGCGCCGGAATTCGTGTCTGCTTCAATGCAGGGTGTCGCGGTTCCTCGCGGATGAGGCGAAGCAAAGGCCATCTTGGAAAGGAGAGAGGTGGCCACGAGACACAGAGCGTGCTTCATTATCAAGGATCTGAGTGTCTGAGACAGAAACCAATTGAATGAGACGCACCTGGCAATACTTGAGCAAGAGGAGAGAATGATGATTGAGAGAATAGAGACAAGCACTAATATTACTATTTGTGACAAAATAGCGAACACATTATTTCTCGACGCTTGTGACGACTGCACCTCCACGTTCCACTCCACCATGTCGACGACGGCACCTCGCAGGTTTTCCTCATTTCAGATCCGGTGCGACTTTCCGTTCCTTGAAACGACGTCCGATGTTGATATCCGTCCGATCTTTCGACTTGAACCGATCATTCGGGTCCTTCACGCGTGTAACAGTTACATTCTTGATCTGGACCAGTCCACGACCGACTACTTCGACCTGCTCTGTCCATTGCCAGCCGAGTCGCACAGACACACCCGCTCGCAAAGAGTCCTCGCCTCTTTACCTCCCTTGATCGAGCGTAACGTTCTGCACCTTCACCTTCCCCGATCGTCGCTTATTCCCGCGGTACCTTCCAATTGCCTCATGATTCTTTCTTGGTCAGGGACACACATCTTGGTAGATTTGGAGGTGGTGTCAGCATGCACAATTTGAGGATGCAAATTCAGCCGCATCTCGGTCGGATGCATCCTTCTCAAATGCTGCAAGAATGTGTCAACTGCGGTCTCGGATGATCACATTGACCACTGGAAAGGAAGCAAGTAGGAATAAAAGATGACCTTGAAACTCTCGGGGCCTTCTAGTTCAGCGAATGCGTGTGGGCGGCTTCTCTTGAGACAGGTGTTGTGGTTCCCCAAGAAGCAGATGCGAGTCGACATTTCTGACCCAAGTGGTGCTCAAAGAGCTGAACTTAGAATCAAGGGTCATTGACCAGGTAAATCACCTGGCCATTCACCAGGGTACCCAGCCAGGACCTCACAATAAGCATCCAGACTCCATATCAACTGCATCTCGTCCTAGGAATTCGATACATCGTCTGTTATTTCGCCAATGGATCCATGCCAATCCTTGCAAAAGCGAGTCGGCCAGATCATCCAGCTTTGACATATTAGTTGTAGCAGCTCGCCCGTCCTTCGAATGCTTGTTGACACGCGATACAAACTCGGCTGCTTCCTGCTGAACGCCCTTTCCAACACGGAAAATTGAGTCTTCATCTCTGAGCATATTTCCAACAATATCAATCTTTGCCTTTTTTACGTCGCGACCGACCAGCTTTTTCTCCTTCGAGCCCAGCAGGCCCTGGTGCCCCTCAAGCCAGTATCGGTTGACCCGGGGAGGCTGCATTGGCTCTATGCTCAGCTGCAGCCGATGCTCCTCAGCTAGAGTTCGCAGAACGGAGTAGAGCATGCCTTCAAGAACGCCAACCCTGAGGGTCCATTCTTGAACCGCTGATTGTCCGCCTGACCGAAATCTTTGTCTCTCGATCAGGATGTGATTGGGTTTGTAAGTCCGTAGCATGTATTTGACAAGATTGTACGCATGCCTAGCGTAGTCAATAGGCTCGAATGACTCTTTGGCCACTTCAGCTACTTCGGTCACTGTGGACATCGAAGTCTCCGGCGCTGAGTCTGGGTGGCCACTCGTGCTGTTCAGTGATTCCGCCACTGCTATACGACGCCATGCTTGTAGTGTTGGCTTGCGGTATTGTATATACCTTAGCGGTTGGGTGACTTCTTCCACTGGGGCCGTGAGATGCGCAAAGGCTAGATTTCTGATGCCCATATCTATGCTCAACAGACTCAAGTGGGACACACTGCCACTACTATTTCCATCTCTTACAGAGTCGGACGCTGCACGACTGATGGCTTCTATACGGGCAAGCTTCGTTCCGGAGCAGGGCGTGCCCAGTGCGGTTGCAAGTCGATGTAACTTGGTCAATGTTAATTCCTTCAGCCATGGTTTTGGGGCGGTCATTGCATGGTGGACAGAGACGCAGACGTTCCTGGGAAGCTATCTCACATGTCGAATCAAGAAGCTATGTCATTCAGATCGGTGCCTTCCAGTGGGTTTGACTGCGATGTTTGAAGCTCTTGTCCAATCAATCGTGTTGAACGCGTCGCGTCTCTGGCTGCGCGTCATTTTGTCATTCGAACATGTCATTGATCCTTCAGATTTCATTTCAACTCCCCACCACATTCCATCAATGCCTCATGTAACATCTGTCCTGAAACCCTTGTCCATGCTTAAACAACAAGGACCCCACGGTATCTTACGCTACCCTCGTCTAGCTTCTTCATGGCATCCGTGACGCCGCTTTGTGTCAATGGGAACTTTTCGATGACCGGTTTGATTGAATATTCCGCGGCGAATCTCAACATTGCCTTCACAGACTGTGAATGAGCTCCTCCAGATCCGATTATCGAATAGCCGTACATGACAAACGGCAGAGCAGGGACTGGAATATTGTCCATGCTGATAGTGAGTGGGAATATCTTCGCATACGGTGCCAATACTGGTAGATACCTGTTCAGTGTGAGTGTTCGTCCCAACCCCCGAGACTGGCAGTGATGAAACTTACAATGAGAGATCAGGTAGTACCGAAGTAGTGATCAACAAGCAGTCGACAGGCTCGATCCCTACGAACTTTGTGACTCCCTTGGTGGCGTAGAATTCCCTCGCGCCAAATTGGAATGCTTCTTCCTTCTTGCTTTCGGTACCGGAGAAGACGACGGCCTCCATTCCCATCTTCGAGACAAACTGAATAGCCAAGTGTCCGAGTCCACCCATCCCGATAATCCCGATGCGATCACCTGCTTTGAATCCATTCTCGTATAAGGGACCCCAAACGGCTGTCCAAAACACCCCTTAGCAGTGAATCCGCCAATGGTGGACAGTTGGAGTTGGGCAAGCTGGTAAACTTACTGGCACCACCACACATCAATGGTCCTGCAGATTCGGACGAGATTTCGTCTGGAATCTTGAAGAGCGTGCTCACATCCCAAGCAACACCTGTACCAAAGCACCCTTGGTCCAAGTTTGCTGTCCCAAATTGTTCGCTGTTCTGACACTTGAACTGCCTGCCTGGAGTTGAAGTTAGCCTCATATATCACCCTGGTCGAAGACGACCGGTCCTGCAGACTCAATTGAGCAGCTCTCCGGCGAAGAGCCACTCGTGGATTGGTGAGCCACTCACCGGTCAAACAAAATTCACAGTAGCCGCACGTTCTTTGGAGCCATCCCATTCCAACCCGATCGCCGACCCTCAAGTCCGACAGCTTTTCAACCATGCTTCCAATCTCTGTGATAACACCAACTCCTTCGTGACCCAATCCTTGGTCGGCTTGCCGGTAATGAGAATCAGTACCACAAACACCGCAATGCGACAGTGCGACTAGAGCTTGCGTCGGGCCTACGTCGCGGTGGCCCTTGGCCTCCACGATCTCACCGGATTCGGAACCCTTGAAGACTGTAAAGTCGATACCCATGGTGAGTTGCTTGGAAGAACGCAGATTTGGATGGACGAGATGCCTGGACAAACAGGATTGTTGCACTGCGTGGGATGGGTGAGATACGAGACTGCATGTCCCTTTTTATACTACCACTGATCACCATATACCTGAGATGACGACTGCGCCGTTTCGATCTGGACAGAAACAGTAGTAATCATCTTCTTGCTAATCAAGTTGCATTTGGTCTCGGTGTCAAGGGACGCCCTCACATCCTATGGAAGGGTAACAAGGACGAGACCATAACCCAGCCTCGATCGCATCGACCGACGAGTCACGATAGCGTGCCGGGAGTCCAAGCGAAATACCAACCATGGCCCATTTTGCACCCACATCTCCTAAGGCAGCCGAACAATGGCGTACGAACTATGTCAATTAGAGCTGTGACTTGGACAGCGACCTTTGCAAATTCCCTGATTCGGAAAGAGGCAATTGATACACGTCCATTGGTTGTTCAACGCCACTCAAGCCAAAGAGAAAGTGGCTTATAGCTATGGTGGCGAAACAAGACATCTGACTAAGGCTGTCGTGTTCTCTATACAGACCACGCACTGATTATGGCAAGTCTAAACAGCGTATAGCGATCAGTGCAATACCCAGTCAGTATTACGGCTTTAAGCAGATCAACCTCAACGCTGCAGCATTTCTGTATACAGCAGTCTGCAAACGTGGATACACTCAAACAGATATTCTGGTCTATTGGGAGTTTTGAAAAGGGCTTCCTGAACTTCTTCTGGGTGTGGGATAGGACATAACTGACTACTGAATTCCCATGGCGCCCGTACCGCCAGCACCAAGAAGCCCTATTCAGCAATCAACGAGCAGTATGCTGGCCACTATCTCGAATGGTGTCGGACCACCATGAACGAACCAGAGGATACCGCCCAACGGGCTTAGGCACTGTGACAGCAGAAGGTCGACGTCGCCCTTGCAACAGTTGCAGTTTTTTCTTCAGCACGACACTTGCCTCAGCGACATCAAAGATCCTGTTTGGTGCGACAGTATGATCGCACAATCTCACTTTGGACTCCGGCTGCACCATCAACACTTAGCAATCATGCAAGACAGCGACGCAATAGACTGAGGAGGTGACGATCTTGATGGTGGTCAAGATACCCCATTCAAAATCCAAGAACCCATTCCCTTTCGCGAATCTAATACCTTGATGGTTGATGGCTTCCGGACCCATTACCATCAAATTCACATCAGGACTATTTATGCTGGGTCTCTGTGAGACTCAAGGCGTGTGCAGACCTGGTCGTTCCATGGCATCCAGGGGACAAGCGAGCTTTCTAGCTTCAGCCGTCACAATTACTGCGGGACTCAACAGCCAAAACCCGCGTCTGATGGTGTAGGTGGTCACTAATACCTTCTTGCCATCTTCCAGGGCTCGCCAGCTAGATTGTTCCAAATCATTGTCCGGGCTGATGGAGACAACTGGGACATCGGCATAGCAGCATAATGAAAGCACTCTTTCTGTTGCAGCATCGGAGCCTTGAAAATTTGCTGTGAAGCTGGAGAAGTCATAATGAAAGCGCGATTCGGGGGCGACGACCTCTCGCAGTCGTGGCGAACCAAGTTATCGGATTTGGCCCTTCTCTTCAACTACCATCCTTGCCACTCGACAGTGCCATCGGGGACCTCTCCGGTGAAAACCTTTGTGTGAGCCAGGTTTGGGACAAGGTCTTGTCAAGAACTTCTGACTCGAGGAGATCAATGACCGCCGAAGGAAAAGCTTCCTCGGCAACGCTCTTGTTCTGATGTCCACTTATGCGGGGTTCACCATGGTGCAGCTTTCTCTGAACGGCGACTTTGCGTACTGCGAAGCGAGAATGTTTACCTTCTATGATCTGTCCATGATGCCAATTCGCTTGTCAATACCTGCCCGAAGCTGCACCGTCGAACCGCTCCCTCGAACGCAACAGTGACTGGCTGGTAGGACAGCTCATGCGCCAGACGAGCATGAAGCCGCGCTCGGCCCGCTACGCTCTTTAGTCTCGTCCACCAGCTACTCCAAACGGATGAGGCTCCGCATGTCACCAGGTTTGTATACCTACTGTGATCAATTGACCATCTACGCATCTTCCATTTAGTCGCTCCACCGCCAGACATTCTGACACTATCCACACTGACAATCAGAAGCAGGGCCCTTTCTCCAACCCGGCGCAATGTCTCGTGCCCAATCATATCCACTTGCTGGCTACCCAGATGCTGCGTACAAGAAGGCTATTGAAGGTGAATGCCCATGTCGGTACTATTCCATCGCACTGCGGAGATGCGCATTTGTCCTTGTGGACCTTATTGACTCTGCTGGATTGACACTACCTTTTCTTTGGGGTATAATAATACTCCCAGAGTCAGCAATTTCAGCTGCGCTGAATTCGAGTACGAAAGACGACACTCGTCAATCTTATACTGGAAAAGTCATCTGCTCTTTCCCACAAATCACCTTGTTCTTATATGGTCTTTGACCTGCGAAGATGGGAGTCCTTATCAATCTCCGAGGTCGAAGCCTCTACTGGCTGATGAAGTTCATCTGCGGGACTTCCTTCATGATGTATGGGTACGATGCTGGCGTGCTCGGTGGCGTCGTTTTACACAAGCCATTCCTGGATGCGATTGGGAATCCGACTGGAGAATGGGTCATACCGTGGATCTCCAGCTCCTACTCGTTGTCGGCATGTATCACCTGTTTGATCGTGGCCACCTTTGCCTTCAAGATTGGCCGGCGAGGGACTATTCTTTTGGGCAACGCTGCCGCCGTTGTCGGCTCAATCATCCAAGCGACGGCCAACTCTGTCGCACAACTCACTGTTGGTCGGATCATCACTGGCTTTGCTATCGGCTGCATCTCCAGCGCTGTGCCGACGTACTTAGCGGAGACGGGTGTCGAAATCGGGGACCGTGGCCCAGCCAATGCATTCAATGCCATAAGTGAGTCAAGACCATTCGAGGACCGACGTGTATCTTCTGCCGGGATTGTTGACAAAGATCGTACATCTTATGCTAATGGCGTCCTGCAGTGCTTATTAGCGGTGTCCCGCTGGCGTACTGGATAGATTACGGCTGCATCAAGTCCGACGGCCAATGGAGCTGGAGAGTGCCCATTGCTTTTCAATGTATTTTTGCACTGGTTGCAGGCATCTGCATGCTCTTCCTCCCGGACACACCGCGATACTACTATGCGAAGAACCGACACGCCGAAGGCGACGATGCCCTAGAACGCCTAAATGACGCACCCATCGACTCGGAACAAGTCCAGAGGATCAAGCGCGAGATTCTCGTTGCCATTGAAGCAGAAGAGGAGGCGAAGTCTAGTTTACACTGGAAGGCATTCACCACTAGTGGCATCATCGACCGCACGCCCATGAAGATCATCCGACGGCTCTGCATCTGCTTTTGGCTTCCCATGATCAGAGAGTGGATGGGCTCTTCATTGCTCGCCTATTGGAGTACTGTCCCGTCCCCCCTTCACATCGTCTGTTCCTAGACTAACCATGGTGCAAAAACAGGCTCCGTCATCCTCAGCCGAGTCGGTGCAGCCCCTTCCCTGGTCAGCCTGCTCGCAGGGATTCTCAATATCTGCTTTGCTCTAGGCTGCGTCCCGCTCTACTTCACCATCGAGAAAGTCGGACGTCGATCGGTCCTTCTCTACGGAGCCTGTGTCATGTCCGTGTTGATGCTCATCTTCACCGTCCTCCAAGCCGTACCGGCGACGCATTCCGTTCAGTGGGCGGGGATCGGCATCATCTTCGCCTTCCTGTTTGTGTTTGGGTATGCCTGGCAGGGCTGCGTGTGGCTGTACTGCTCTGAGATTGCGCCGCTCGAGTACCGACACATCGGCGGCGCGTTTACGGGCTTTGGCGAATGGCTGATGACCTTCATCACCGTCTTCGCAGGTCCCATCGGCCTGACCAACGTGGGCTGGAAGTTCTGGCTGTGGGTCCTCAGCGGCAACCTCGTGGCCGTCGTCTTCGTCTTCTTCCTGTGCCCCGAGACCGGCGGCAAGACCCTCGAGCAGGTCGACTTCCTCTTCTCCAAGAGCGCCTTTGTCGCCGGCATGAAGAAGGCCGAGCGTGGTCTGGACGACGATGACGAGGAAGCGGCCAACGACCGCTGGATCGAGCTTCAGGGGAAGACTGCCGAGCAGCGTATCGAGGTCAAGGGCTAGATGGGAATGAATCTCGACTGAACCCAAGGGAGACAGTCAGCTTCTGTTTCGCTCTTCCTCGAACATTTAAGAGACATCAAGAGATAAAGATAGTTCTTGAGGACTGCAGAACCATTGAGCAACGAATCCATCTTATTGTCCCGACACGGAAGCGACTAAGACCTTGTCACATGTCGTTGTTCCGGTGCGTAGCTTAGCCACTCGCTTCTCGAAAGATTTTCTATACTAGGAGCTTAGGATGACTCTATCAATTCAGTCCAGTCAGACAGTAGAATGTAGTTTAGAGCATAAAACATTCCATGTTAGCAGAAAATAGCCGCGTCCCACGGGTATCTATCACGTATGTAACTCTCAATAAAGCCCCAGCATGTTCTTTGAAGTTATGGATATCGAACACTTCCAGCCAGACCTCCCCCCGTCGTCCCGGGTCAACTGATCAGCCATGTCGTCGATCCTTCACCGCTCCTTCAAAAAAGTATGTTAACTCGCTTGTGTATTAGAGCGCGGCAGCCAAGTCGCCCCAAAAACCGACAGACGTCCACCATCTGTGCGGGTGTAGTTTGCGTCAATGAATAAATATCTTAGCACCCAAAACTGTTGCCTTCCGAGAATGTCTAGTTTCGAACGACTCCAGGTCCTCCTGTCTTGTGTTGTGTAGTCTCCTTGTCTCTTTGGCTGCCTCGACCTCCACGTACATATCTCAAGTTGTGCTGAGCGAATATCGACTGTGTCTCGTCGTTGAGTGGCCTGTCAGAGTGCTTTATGTAGCTTGGTCGTAGGCCATATTTTCTCGCAAGGTCGTTATCCTGTAAAACTTCCCGGTTCTCTTTTCTGGATAGAGGTGTTGATAGTGTATTAAAATGTGATAACCCCGGTATGTATACCCCAATATGTTTCCTCCTTTTCCATATAACTGAGCTTTGGCGTCCCAGTAATCTTGCCGAGTGAGGTAACAGAGTCGAGGGGGTGCAGCAACATGGCTATCGTCGAGAAGTCTCAAGTGAAGTGCCTGTGATGTATCTCAACAGGACTAACATAGTTACGGAATCTGAGGTGAAGTTAGTTAAGAGCCTGTAGAAGATGGTATTGGTTGCCTTGTTACCTAGGCAAGAGTACATTCAGGTTTCTTCGTGCAGGGAGAAGTTCCAAATCGACCAAGTAGAAAAAGCTGATGATTGTGCTCCCAAGATAGAGAGGGCTGAGACAAGATGGCGTGTTGAAAAAGGTTCAGCTTCATTGCTGGTCGTGTTGCCTCAGCATTGGAGGTGACAGCCCCTTCAATCCAGGCCTTTCATCGTGGCTCGTAGCCTCTCCAACGGATCGGGGGATGGGCACAGCCGTTCTTCAAGTGTTTGTTCATGTAAATGACAGTGCAGAATTGGTAGGATCGCTCGAGGGCGAGGGCGTAGACCAGCTGGTGCCGTCATAGCGTCGCCTTTTTGACACGACTCTGGCTCCCTATATCTCCTCTTCGTAGGCAAACATTCCTAAGGACTGTGAAAAGAAGGATTGGTGAGTGAGCAGGTTTGGAAAGGTGCTTTTTGGTCAGTTGAGACTGCAACAATGTAGCGGTCAAATTAGGTCAGTCTCGTGAACTTCGCCACCAATATTCGCCGAATCTTTGTCCTATAAACATCTAAAGTCAACTTGATAGTCCTTTCAGAGCATTGGATATTGGCATGACGGAACGGGAAGTGTTCGGACTGCTATCCAAAGATCACAGATTGTCTTCGGTTGATGCAGGGGAATGCTTTCTCTGGCACTCATCGTGATCTTGAAGCAAGACGGTTCATTCCAGCTCTCAAGAGGAGCCCATGTGCTCAAGATTCGGGAGATGTTGGATGAAAAGGAACACATCGACGCAAAGAGAATGTGGTGTGTGCGTAGCCCATGGGGTAAACTGCGCTCTGGGACAGGAGAGAATCAACCCAGGGGGAGGGACCACAAGGAGGGAAATCTCGGTCGGGTTTGGGCAAACGAGGAGACTAGTGTAGGACTCGATATCTGCTGTTCTTTTCAAAGAGGACAAGACTTGTACAGTTGGCAAGTCACTGCTGGCATTGGGCTTCGCTGAGATGGTATGATTCGAGAAGAAGAGTCAGGGGGAGGCAGTCGGGTTGGAAGAGCATTCGGATAGAGGACAAATGGGCACATAGGGGATTGCGGTCTCTTCAACGCAATCTTCCAAACGAAGGGCGGTAAGTAGAACTGAGAACTTGAAGACACAGGCAGGAGGCCAGAAGGGTATCGAGCAGGGGAAGAAGACAGAGGTTGGGCACTGAGCAACCAGCCTGTGAGCGGTGTTGAATCTGACAAGGTCTTGTGAGAAAGTGATGGACCAGTTACACTATTCAGGTGTACCTCGTATACCAAAGCTCAATAGCTAGTGATCACAATGTAAACAAGTTGATAGATCCCACAGCTCCCAGAGGTGTATCATCTTGGGATCGAGGAACATCATCGTCGTCGTCGTCGTAGCTGGGGAAGATAGAACCTGGTATGTCTGCCCGGATATCTTTGTTTTCGCTGCTTCCGAGGCTGCAATCACAGAATCATGAATCCCCGCATTTGATGATTGATAAACCCGACTCCAAACATAACCAACTTGAATCTGTCAAGGTCATCATCCATCATCGTTGATGTATTCGGTCTGTTCTCGTAGACTCCTATTGTCTCAGATCCCGCAGCAGCGTCTCTTTTGCAGCCCCCTTGTGGCATCCAAACTCCACGGCACCAATATCACCCACCGCAGCACCATGTCATCCGCAGAGTTCCCTCCGCCCCAGCTCAGATCGGCTGCCGAAGACGTTGCGTCCCTCCTCAAGTCTCGAGGCGAGACCATATGCGTGGCGGAGACCGCCGCAGGAGGACTCATTTCCGCCTCACTGCTTGCAACCCCTGGGGCAAGCAGGATCTACAAGGGTGGATTGACACTGTATACGTTACAATCCAGGATTGCCTTCGCCGGCTGGACGCAACAGAACATCGACAATTATGATGGACCTACCCCGGAATTGGTGGAAGACCTGGCAAAGAGCGTGAGAGCAACGCTGCAAGGAACTTATTGTGTCGGTGAGGTACGTACTCCCTACAATCCCCTACATCTGTCGATCTCGCCGGACAGGGCGAAGCCCTCAAGGCCTGGACAATGGAGACTTTTTTTCGCTTACTCGACTGCTCTCAACACAACAGTCAGGAACAGCAGGACCAACCGCCAGTGGCAAGACTCCCAACAGACAACCGTAAGTACAGATCCCGCCCTATCCGCCTCTCACCTAGCTGCGCCTCAATAGGGAGCATGTGAATCTGATACGAGGCGGAAAACTACAGGGGCTACGTCGCATTGGCAGTGGTGGGCGAAAAGGGTAGTGTGAACAAGGATCTAGACACGGGGTTGGGAAGTGATAGACAGGCCAATATGGTGGCGTTTGCGGTTGCCGCGCTTCAACTGGTCAAGGACTTCATCTTGTCGTCTGGCGGTGACAAGGGTGGGAAAATGTGAACAGTGTGACAGTTGTTGATGGACCGAATTCGAACAAGTGGCTCGCAAGCAGTTGTGGCTGGACTATCCACCAGCTGGCTCCAACGGCGTCATCTCCCCAGGCACCAGAGTCGAGACGAGTGACTGAGGCTCAGTTTCGGGTGATCCTCACTTTGTTTGACCCGGTCGTCTACTGACTTTGTTTGCTTTTTCTCTGCCTGATGTACTCGGTAGTTCTGAGTTGCTCCATCAACACCTTTCAAACTTCGGCATTCCTCTTTTGAGACTTTCCCTAAGTGGAGCTGCAAAGTCCATGCATGCACTGACCAGGTCACAAGGGAAGCAAACGAAGTGATGCACCACATTCCAACGTCCACCGTTGGACGGGGTCCGGGGTGGCTTTGTGTGACCGGGCTATCCACCCAGCTTCACCATGGCATGCAGTATTCGCGGTCGACCTGTCAATCTCGTGTCGATGACGGCTGAACCGTCCCCCAACTGAGAAAAGAGCCATTGAGACTGAATACGGGGGACATACCTAAATCTGCCTCTCCCGAGGGGTAGGAGACCATTGCAACGTGCCTAGTTTCATTGGGAAACAGACTTTGAGTGCCCAGATCCACCACTATCCATCCTTGTGATCGGATCAAAAACTTCGGATCGAAACTCAACCACAACCTTTCGAGAAACCCTGTCATCTAGTGAAAAGTACGCACGGACTGAAGATGTCGTCAAGGGCAGTGATATTCGCCTCACCTCTTTCTCTTACCCAGCCAGGGTCCGCTCGCCAATTGTTGTTACAGAAGCAAGGGACTTTAGGCGTGGACGATCTATGAGCCTGAGCGACATTGCGAAAAAATTCCGCGACGCACAAACCCAAGCGATTGGCTGCGCTGCATCACCTTATAACCTTTTTCACTGTGCTTCCAAACCTGTCTCGTGATATGGTTCACGTGGTCCTTTTGACAACTGTCAATTCTTGATCCTAACCAAGCGTGAGCAACGAGAGGTCCCCTTGCATCGATCGTAATTCGTAGAATGAGAAGGGTGGCAGGCCTCGAGTAGACTTTTGAAGCATTATTTAGAACAGGGGAGTGGGAAAATTCTGGCCAGGATTGTCACCTGGATTAGCTGTTGTTTGTTCCGTAAAATGCGAAAAGATCGACCATCATGTGCAAAGAGTAGTAGAAACCCCCAAAGTTAGTGTCTACTGCCCACACGCGCGTGTGTTCCAACAGGAATGATGGATAGAGCCAAGGACACTGGGTAAATTGGCCGTGTTGGGAAATTCGGAGGACGCGGTGAGGAAAGGTTGTGCTTCGCTTGAGCTTTGCACATCTAGCCAATTGTGGTGCTGAGGAGAAGAAAATGAGGCGAGCGAGAAGGGGTTCAGGCCCTGCGGCGGGGGGAGGAGATAAGTCGCAGCGTGACAGACAAATATCCCTTGCTCCTGCAGTCTTTGCTGCGCTCCCGGATGTTCTGGCCGTGTACAGTATTTGTATGAGTGATGATGCAGACGATCAAAGTGCCAGGGGTCTCGCGATCCTTGTACTGTGTCGGATCATACTCGGATCTATGTACCTGTATGTAAGTATGTAGAGATGTTCAGAGTGCAGTCAATTGGAACGAATGGGACTTGGGTTTCCACGCGTGCCACGGGCGGGTGTTGCGACTTCGCCTCGGAAGCCGGACTTCCTGCTGATCTCCGTCTTTGACCGACCCCTCATGTCCGATCCTGGAACGGGCTTTGCCTACCTGCAAAGTACGAGTCGTAGGCATGCTCGTAAAACCTTTTCCCGGGCGACATCGCCCGCCACGCTCGCCTGGGCCTGCCACTCCCACCTACTTCGAGTACCTATAAGCTGCCTATCCAATTGCAACCGTGGGTGGCCCCCCTCGACTTGCTGGGTCTCAGATCCGTCGTTTGATCTTCCTCGCTATCACAAGCAACGAGCGAGGGTTGAGGATCCGCTCCTGATCCACCACGCCCATTTACTCCGTGTGGAATTGGGTTTGAGAAAAGTTCTTTCTCCGTCCACCTGCTGGATCCGAAAATGTGGCCTGGTCGGGTTTTTCTGTTTGATGACCTCCTTGTTTTGGCGCAGTTGCAGATTTCCAGGAGCAACGGGCTCCATGCGCTATCGCCAGAACCATTTATTGCCACCTGCGAGTTAGCCATCCATTGACGCCGATTTGCCAATGCTGTGATCGCGCCGTCTCTCGACCTTGGACCAAGACCAGCTGCTATCGAGGAGGGGGTGACCCATTTGGCCCACGTGGCAACAAGAGAAGGCTAACACTCCAGAGGCTCTGATTGATTGAAGGATCGCATAGTGTGATGCTTTTCCACCCCTCCCTTGGTACATGGTACATGCACCACAGAACAAGTATCACTCTATCCCGATTCTGGTGCAACCACAGACTGGCTGATGCGCGGCTTTGCCAACCGGAAACCACCGATTGAAGGCTTCCAAGGACGCCAGAACACAACGACAAAGGGTAAACCACCATTTGTTGGAGGCATTACTGGGAAGGTTCCGCTTCATTTCAGCTCGGAGATGCTGGTAGGTGGCTGGTATTCTCTCGAGAGGCCGTTCTTCCCTAGGTCGGAAGGAGTTCTTGTTCCTGAGGGTCTTCGTCAGAGAAAATTCGCTTCCTCCTATCGGAAAGTAGCCCCACCACGCCTACGGCCGACGCCCCGAGCACTGGAGATGGCCTTGAAATCACAAGGTGTACAATCTATGGCGGTCAAACTGAAGACAATACCAGGCACTCACGCACTGCAGTCACTCTGGGGCGTGTTCAATGACGGGCAAGCTGCGTGTAGTCATTGGGCAGGTGGCTCGTCATGCACCCTCTGTCTCATTGCGGGCTGTGATATACATTGGGCCCATTATGCGAGCTTGGTGGTTGCTGATCTGAGGGGCCAAGGATGGTGGAGGAAGGGAGGAATGGATAGTGAGGAGTGGATTTCTGGCCTGGTCTCTGGTGTCTGGCCTTAGTCCGAGAAGGTAGTTGGTCTCTGTCTTTGTACTCGGTACTTGTCTGGCTTCTGAATATCTTCTAAGGGTCGTGCCCGTGTCCTGCCTCCCACATTGCAACCTGACCAAGGACACTAGTGAACGGCCCCTGTGACCTACCAGACCTCTCAAGTCCACTCCTGTTGCTTGGAGGACTCTGGCATCAAGCCATGCTCGTATAGCAACAAACAGAAATGGGCTTTGGTGATTGCGATATCGTCGGTCAAGCCAGCAAGCACTGCGACTGCGACTGCGACTGCGACTGCGACTGCGTAAACTTCAAGTAGCGTGATACTAGAACCAAGGCCTTGGGTCCAATGCTGCGCTTCCCGGAAACCCAGAAACTGGCTGCGTGCGCCCCTTGTTTACCACCTCCTTGGTTGTATGCATCTGTAGATTTGCAGCTAAAAGGTTCCACGTTTAGGTTCTTGCCGAGTCCGATTCCGTCTTCGCGGAAACTCTTTTCTTTCAGCAGAGCCAGGGTGTTTTCCTCCTTGGACGATCTGTGGTGTACTTGTCTGCATATTATTATCTGTCAGACTTGAGTGACGAATGTTCCATGCCAATTGGGCTTGTCGCCACCAAACGTCGCACAATTTATCCCAAGCGTGGGTCGGACTGACTCGATCTGAAGCAAACCTTCCTCACTGACCGCACATTCATGACTGTGTACTTGTACAGGTAGGCCTCAAATCTTACCATCAGAATAGGTCCGCTCAAGCCCCACCACTGGGCAGCAAAGTCCAAGTCCAACCTTAAGCTATGTTTATATTCAGTCACCAGCTTGTAAGAGGTTGCTTTTTTTGGGCGGCCACGGATACCTATACTGGTTGAACATCGACGGCTGCTTCGTGTAGTCTTGACTATTGTCAAAGCGTCCTTCAAAGAATGGATCTCGAGAAACGCGTGTATTGCCACAACAACACACCTACCAAGCAAGTAGTGGCAAACCAAACCTCGACGATCACTTGGATTAGTTCGAGTGCAGGATCAAACACAGCATCATAAGCGATTCTGGATTCCCTGGGTTTCTGTTGTTCCTACGAGTACTCGTCAAAGTAAGAGTACGGGGGTTACCCACGCCCTCTCCTAGGCGGGTACAAGTACACTGTAACCCTACCCAGCTTTTGCAGGGTTGTGTCGAGTCAACGTGGAATGTGGGGCTTGGGCCATGGAAAAAGAAGACGTCTCGAAAAATCCAGAAGCCGAAATTGAGCATACAAGGAGAAAAGGAGGTGGAGCACTAGAGGATTGCTCAAGGGAACATGCTTCAATGTCCAGAGGGTTATCATTTCTCACGCGCCGGTCCTTGGTATTCGGTGGATGAATTTATCTCAGACGTCCATGCAGTTGTACGAGGACATGTACTTGTTTGTAGCTAGCGTGGTGGCTCACGGGAAATGAAATCCTAATCCTAAACCCGTTGATATCTTTGTCGAACAATTCAAGTTCGTGTACTTGTACCGAGGACATGAATCCCGAGTGTACGGTATCGGCGGTTGGAGTGAACAAGGGCATCTGCGCACAATCCGATCGCTAATCGAGGCCTCCTTTGTGCCTCGCATCGAAGCGGAATAGGAGTCTGACGAGCCAGTGGTTACGAGTCAACGACTTGGAATCGGAATACACCCATTGTCGTCAGAGTGGCTTGCGGGAGAGGCCCGAAAAGGGACGACGCGCCGTTTCGGCCGGCTCGTTTAGGCGGTCGATATGCCCAAGAAGGGACCGAGCCAGCCTGCAAGGAACACAACCTTTGAGCACTTGGTGCCGCTCTGCTGGGCCTGCGCCACGTGGATGAAGTTGGCGGGGAACACTGGACCTGGTGGTGGCGGCGAATGGTGGAAAAAAGCCACTCGGGAGAAGGTGAATTCTCCAACAAGCACCTTCTACTTGAAGAAGCTGAAGAGCGGCCCATTTATTTCCTGGCGTGAATGTTGAGAGGCAAGGGAAAATATGCTTCGACTACTTACTCGCACGAGTACTCGTAGCTCCCAGACACTA